GATTGACTATAAATATTGATTTAACAGTTAAAAACCCAGCAACAGCTTTTACATGTATGTAAAAAGTGATATCATTAAAGGCTCTTTTGTATTTTGTCAATTGTCCGAAACTGCTGATTTGGATATTCATGTAGAGAAGTTAGCATTTATTTGTGGGGAAAATACAACAGATCAATAGTTGGTGCAGATCTCAAGAATTCATTCCCAAACAATCTGTTTGACTGAATTATTGCTATAACTGTTACTGGCTATAAGCTGTAGAATCATAATATTTCATTCATAAATAAAGCATATAGCATTTTGATATTTTAATTAGTCAGTTGAGTGAAATTTTCTTTGGTTCAACTATAAGAGCAGAACAAGATAAAACCAGTTATATATAAGTATAATAGCCAATGTTAGGTATACTGTATGGAGTTTACTTAACGATTTTAGGATTTTTAAGCCGACTATAAAACATTAACCTGGAAGTTTAATATAAATGTAATAGAAAACTAAATGTAATAGTACAAAATAATTTTTTCTGAAAGGTTAATCTGATTTTTTTGGTTGTGACCATTTTTTGGTCTTTATTAGTTAAATTAACCTTGTACACATTAATTTTGTGAAAGTATTGTAGGTTTTTAATGTGATGTTTTTTTTTCTGGTGGGAAATCATAGTTTGTATAAATTTACCTGTTGTTTGTTTTAGCTTGACTTTTTTTGAAGAAAAAAAGAGGTATTGTTACAGTCAGTTGTGGTTGCTGTTGCCATTGTCTATGCTGTAACAGGTGTGTCATTTCCATCTTTTTATTACTTTTGTATAAATAAAACACATATATGAATTTTATCAAGACAGCATGGAAATTAAGCAAAATCCCAGTAATTCTTGATCATCCTTCAACATCATCCCTGATGTAATTTCAAACAAAAGTTAATGTTATATACATGTATTATCGTTCTGTTAGTTTAGCTGTTTACTGTTAACCAGACTCTTCTAAAGTGCTAATGCAGGTTGTTTAATTATTTTAAAGTGCTGTATTATATTACTTAAGATATTTGTGTTACCCCAGGGTGTGATTATTTAGAGAAATATGGTTTTCACACTAAAAGGCTGAGAAAAATATTTGTTTTATTACTTTATATAAGGGCTGGCTATCTGGTCATTAAAATTCTCTTGTAGCTCATTTCTTAAAGTCCTTTTTAGGGGATTAATCACTGCGTATATCTGGAAGGCGAAGAAAAAAAACCCATAAAGATTAGGCAGAAATGAAAAAACTAATGCAACAATGTAAAAATAATACAGTAATTATGCCATGCTGAGCAGCTGTGTGCTCTTCTTCATTTTTTTAACCTGATTTACTTAAAACTATAATGCTACTATAGTTTGCACAGCATCGTCACTTTCTTGCACAAAATTTTACATTATTAATTTTATACTTTTATGAGTTACAGGATATACACAGTCAGTGGTAATAGTAAAGTGAAAAATTTTAATCTATGGTTGTGCTTTAACTTAAGATTGTTAATTTTGATTACTTTTTATGCCTAAGAAGTTATGATAGAAAAACATAATAAAACATAATAACAATTCCACATTATAATTTATATTATGTAATATTCCAATTCAATATTAATTAAATGTAAAAAAATTAAGACATATAAGTTATGCAACATCTGTCTATTTGTATACATTGACTTTGTACATTGTAGGTAAGATAATAAAATATTGATGTAAAAGGATGTATTTTGTTGAAGTTCAGCATTATTTCATATAAAACATAATGTTATTTTGTAGTAAATGGCAATATTATTTTGTCCATCATAAAAATGGAATACATTAAAGTAAAAGGCGTAACAATGTAATAAATGGGCACTGCCTAGTAATAATTATGCAATGGTAAAACTTGTACTTTTATGGATCCATGCAGTTTGTATGTACATTGTACAGATCAAGTAAATGACAAAATCTAGTTTAAGCTGGACACACGAGTATATTGTCATGTGTTTGTATGTTTGACATAATTATGACATGTTAATTAATTCTTTATAAGTACTGGTCAAACAATGTAATACAATATAACATAAATGTAATCTACCAATGACTGTTCACATAGAGAGATGTAACATCACTCATTAATAATTCTCCCCTATACTTGTGTATGTTGTTGTTGTCATATTATTCTAATATGTTTTCTTGGATAGAGTGTTCCATTAATAGTGATTTATAATGATCTTGGACCTCATTTCTACATTATTATATACAGTATATTAATGTAAGAGATATTTTGTCAAATATGAGACATTATCAGTTATTTTTCATAGTATTGTTTGGTTTTATTAACCTGTCAATTACATACTGATTACACGGTCGATGCACACGGTATATTAATCTTCGGTTGATGTTCGGTAAGTTCCGTGAGATGTACGCTGTACGATGGAATTTAATTTAATTTGTATCTCTAAACTAAGTGTACTCAGCGTTATAGCGCAATAGGGTAAATCACGAGTTTATAACCCAAGTGCCACATGTGTTTTAAGTTCGAGGCCGCGTTGGTCCATGTTTTTTTTCTTATTAATTCTTTCAACATTATTGAATCTATATATGATTATTTTATGTTTTGCGTTTTTTATTATGTTTTACTTAATTTTGTTATGTATATACTCTTTTTAAATAACATGTTTTTAAGAATTCATGTTTAAAATTGAAACGGATTAAAATCAATAAATGTCTTTTCAATGCCGTAAAACACACTACAAATCTGTTCCATTAAAATATACTGCAAAAATAAAGAAAGAGTACTAAAAAATGGCAACAGTAAGGATCGAACCAGAGACCTCTCAATTATCAGGCATTCTCTTAACCGACTGTCCTATTGTGAATTAACGAAAACCTTCACATTAAGCTTGCGTGACTTACAATCCATGACTAATATACTCCACATTAATTCTCGTAAACTACACGGACCAAACCAAAGTGGGATCGAATATTTAAATGAGTCCTGTAATGTATTCATAATTGACAGGTCAATAAAATCAGACTATATTGATGTTTCAAAGGCATTATTTATATAATCTGTAAGTTTTCACTTTATTATTGATTTGTATGAACTTGAGGTGACTTTATCAATTGCTTATTATTGTAATGAATATCTAATAATGCTGTTTAAAAGGTGTGTTATGAAATGACAAAAGACTCACTTTGATATGATACTTTTAGTGTGTATTGATAAATTGTGTTAAAAGTGGATAAAACTGATGCATACTTTTGTTGTTGCAATGTTTATAAAATAAATGTAGGTACAGAAGACACTTATGATCTTTCCTTAATAACAAAATGTTTCAAGATAAAGGTTTAGGGTACAAGGTAATCAAAAATGAACTACATTGAGCCGTCTGTTGAATATCATCAGGACTGCTGGAATAATTATTATAACATTTCATTGATTTTGAATTGATAAATTTATAAATTATCAGCTTATTAACAATGTAGTGATAATGATAGATGTATCATTTGATATAAAAAGACATGAATATTTTATTAATACTTAAGTAATGTGATAATTAAAGCATTACTATTGCTGTAATGGAAAGTGTTTAACCTTTGTCACAAGTACATGTATACATGTAGATGTTATCTGGTATTCTGCAAATGTGGGGTTTTACCAGTACAAACCAACTTTTACCATTATAGCTTCAAGTCGCACTTCTTTTAGTCAACCTGTTGCTCTTATAATTTTCGAAGCTGTTTTACTGTAAAAGTTTGTACCTATAGATTACTTTGGAAAAACCCAAATAATCTTAATTCCAGAGTTAGTCTATTCAGAGCTAGGCATGCCAGCACACCTATGCAATGACTGATGTAGAAATCCCTAAAACCTTTAATGAGCTGTTGAAAGTAGGGCAAATTGTTTACAAAATTTCAAAAGGGTTAGGATTATTAAGCTTCCATATACTGTTAGACAGTGTTACACTTTCCAATAGTTCCATTATCTCTAATGAACAGACTTGATAAAACCGAAACTGTAGTTTCACAGTATATTTGCATGGCAAAATTTTTAAAAAGTTTTTAATTGGCAGGGATGATAAATTATATAGAAAATACATGGTTGATGTCGGGATGGAGAAGGTTTATCCGGTGAGCGAGAAAGTGTATCCTGGCGAGCTTTAGCGAGCCATGGTTCATTTTCCCAGCGAACCGGATAAACCTTCTACATCCCAACATCAACCATGTATTTGATTTATCCTGCTTTTTATCATGTTTTTAGAATAATTAAAGGGTTTCATTCTTCTTTTTCCCCGATAAAATAGCATCTATATGTAGTTTTGTTTTGCTGCTAAATATGTGACGTCATCATGTGACATAATGACTGGAGATAGATAAGTTTATCCGACAAGGCTTTTTGCATTTGCAACAAGAACAGACAGTGCTTAAATTTTCTAATCACCATCTTTTAATAAAGCTTTTTAACTCTTAAAGTCTGCTGAAATTCTATTAAAGACTTGTCCAGCTTCTATTTTCCAAACTGTCTATTAAATCATTACTTTGAATGTGTGCATCAAGATGAAAATTTAAAGTTTACAGTCAGCAGTAAAGAGTCTGGTCATACTTTTACTGGTTGTAACTTAGGGTATTAATAATCTCTTTCTGTTTAAGCAATTGGTAAAAGTTAAAGCTTGTCAACATTGTTCAATATCCTATTTATTAACTTATTTTCCTACTAACAGTGGTATTTACCTATGTTCTGTATGTTTTGTTAAGTTAATATACAGATATAGATGGATAAATTTAATGATAAATTAAATGGATTTCCATGCTTTAGTAGGGCTGGGCTTGATGATGAGTAAAAATCAAAAGTGCTATCTACGCGTAGGTTTTCAACTTTACAAGGTAATACAACCTTCATTTATTGAAAGTGCAAATTATTTTATGATGAAGCAACATTTATTACGTATATTGTATTTACCCAAGTGTTGAATCATTAGGATGTGTTACAATGATCATATTTGTATATTTTCAGATCATAAAGTCAGTGCAAACTATGAAGAGATGAAACAAACTTTGAATGAGACCTGACTTTGGAATATGTCTGCTACAAGTAAGTTGGTCATTTAGCCCTGACCTAAGCAGGGAGTGGGAGGTTGGGGGTGGTCTTTTTAAAGCTTGCCGGATATAACTTAAACATTGGTGATCTTGGGGTAAAAAGTAAGGCCACTGCTGACAATTTTAGTTCTCTTCTGTCACATAAGGAACCTGAGACATTAAATTACTCAGGACTGAAGGTTTGTGCTTCTACTTGTGTCTCTTGTTCATGCTAAAAGTAATGCTAAATGCACCTCAAATATTTTCTACCAATTAGGAAACTTCATTTTTAGCTTGACTATACGAAGTATATGGAGAGCTGTCCTATTCGCTATCCTCCCTATAACTTCTATACTTTTTAAGGTATCTACTTCAAACTTCAAATATATATTTCTTATCATTACACACATGTTGTGTGACAAGGTTCATAACTCTAGTGTGACTATTTCTAGAATTATTCCCCTTGATCTTGGAATTTATGTTAACAAATGTTTTTTTTTACTATAAACTTATACTTTATTATACATATTTGATTTTTTTCCATAGTTTTGTCCTTACTGCGTCCAGTATTTATTAGTCAAGCTTGGCTGTCTCCTATGACAGCTCTTGTTTATCCTATTAGCAAAGCATGTGCAGGTGCATCTTAGCTAGGACTGTGGCTTTTATAGTTCTTAGAGAGCTTTAAAGCTAAGGGGGCTGATTATGTAATCTATCCAGATTTGGCTTACATTCTGAAAAAAAGAAAACACTTTAAAGAAAATTCTGCTTTATATTGTATATACTAAAAATAAAAAGAATGTAAATGATCAATGTAAAATTGTGAAAACGGTAGATTCAAGTTGCATATCTGAAAAAAGAAACTCTTTTAACCATTGCCAAATTTGTAAGCTCAGTTAAAAAAGAGTTTAAGGCATTCAAATGTCTGGTCTTGTTTAGATGACATAATAATTGAATATCTATTTATCTATCTATTTATTTATCTATCACCACTTTTTTGAATGATACAATGTGATTAAAGCATGTGAAGACAAACACATTGCTACTGAAGGTGACCAACCCACATGACTTTTTTAGGTATCATAGTCACACAATTTCACTTGATTCAATTAAGAGTTTACTCAATAGATATTCTGGAAACATAGTACAGGATACCTGAAAGCACTGGCTGCAACAGCATATCTTTTTTATTAAATCATACTCCAAGAAAAGCTTCCAAAGGGACCATAAATAATTAATTTCATGCATTAAAATGTCAAATTGGTTGGCCAACTTACTACTGGTACAAAAAAAAATTAGAAAAATACAGCATATAACCTAGGAGTATTGGTTATATATGTGATTTATATCAAGTTGTACAAAACACAGCAAAACAAAATATTTCATCATACTGCCAGATACTTGAGGTGTCATAAAATAATTTATAATCCTAAAGTTAGTTTTGTAAACACTATTTTGTCACATTACCTTCCTGATAATAAAATCACTGGTGAATTTTTATTACCATTATACTCACAGGATTGGACAGAATGGAACTCTTAAACTCCTCTTAAACTCTCTACAAAACATAAATCAGTTTTGTTTTTCCTAAAAATGAACAACTGTTCAGGTGATATTGTTACATAATCATTAATGTGTTTTTGCCAATTTTCTGTGAAATTATAGCCATAATTAGATGAGAGCAAGGCCATTTTTTTCTAAAGTCATACTGTGTGAATTGTATTATATTACATGTGACTTAGTTGAAAAGGAAGGTACTCATGTTAAAAACAATCAACAGAGGTGAACACAAACCAAGGTGCTCTGATTGAAACAAGAAACAGACATGAACACAAACCAAGGTGCTCTCATTGAAACAAGAAACAGACATGAACTCAAACCAAGGTGCTCGAATTTAAACAATAAATAGAAGTAAACACAAACCAGGATGTTGTGATTGAAACAAGAAACAGACTTATTGTATTAGTTTTACTGTAGAGAATCAATGTAACCTGAAATTGTACATTACATGCAAAGCTAATATTTGTAAAAGAATACAATACCAGATATTTTTTAAACTGTTAATATTCATTTTGTTGTTATTGTGTTATTATTTTTTTTCATGGTAACACAATATTTTCTTCCATATGACAATGTCATATTTATAGTCTCTTTAATTTGGAAAACAAACTTGCCTTCCTTTGAAACTTGAGCAGTCTGTTGTTATTTTAAGATATTTAAGTATCAGAGTAATGATAAAACAGCAGACAGCAGTAGAGTGGTAGGATAGTCCTTTAATGTCCTCATAATGATTTGAAAATATTTCAATGCATACCTACATGTATATGAGTATACTCTTTTTTCCACTTCCTGTTTTATAGACAACTCTCAACCTCTCACGGAAGGGTTGTTAAATTTGTTCACAGGAAATAATTTCTTGACAAAATAACATAAATGAACATAAACAAAAGCCTCTTAATAAAGCAAAGCAATACAACTAAAAAGTCTCTCCATATGTGGATAAAAGTCACTGAGTTAATCAAAACACAATGACCAAAAGTCTCTCCATAGATGGACAAAATCACTATGTCGAGCAAAGCACAATCAATAAAGTCTCTCCATAGATGGACAAAATCACTATGTCAAGCAAAGCACAATCAATAAAGTCTCTCCATAGATGGACAAAATCACTATGTCAAGCAAAGCACAATCAATAAAGTCTCTCCATAGATGGACAAAATCACTATGTCAAGCAAAGCACAATCAATAGATAGACAATTTTCACCTGAGCCAATTTTTGTTGTAGTTTGAACTATTTACACTTTATTGGTTATTGGTCAAAACTTTGAAAAATTATTTAATTGCCAGACTTGTAAATTGTTTTATTTCATTTTGATAATTTTATCTACTGATAGTTGGTAATCTATGCTGTGCTCATTCCTGACAAGGGTCCAGGGAGGACAGGGTATTATGTCCTGAAGACACGGTTTATATTAAACCTTCAAATGTAGTGTAAAGTTTTCAATAAGGACAATTTTCTTGTTTTATTTGTGCAGCAACAAATATACTTGTTTTACATCATATTTGAAATGGAGATCCCTAGAAACAAAATTAAAATTAATGAATACAGTAAACCAATGTTATTTTTACCTGTTCTAATTTCAGGTACCACATCCACTATTAAGCCCATACGAAATAAAGGTGAGATTATATTTTTAAAACCTTTCCCTAGCTGTTGGTATTTGTTTTAAACTTACCCTGCTAAACATTTAGAACCTAGGAATGTTAAGAACAATATACTTTAGCTTTGAGGATAATTTTCCTTACTGTATTCAAGATTTGGCTTGTCCTGCTATAACTTTGAATCACTGCTATTTCGTAGGGATTTCATGTTCAACCTAAATATTTGAGCTGTAAAAAAATTTGTTACATTTATGCTAATATAGACTTGCAATGTTTGTGTCTTATTAGGAAGCCTGCCAATACTGTTATTCTTGTGACATAGACTTATGTGTCTATTTCTGGTGACATATTACTGTCTAGGTAGACCTGCTTATTTCTGGTGACATATTACTGTCTAGGTAGACCTGCTTATTTCTGGTGACATATTACTGTCTAGGTAGACCTGCTTATTTCTGGTGACATATTACTGTCTAGGTAGACCTGCTTATTTCTGGTGACATATTACTGTCTAGGTAGACCTGCTTATTTCTGGTGACATATTACTGTCTAGGTAGACCTGCCTATTTCTGGTGACATATTACTGTCTAGGTAGACCTGCTTATTTCTGGTGACATATTACTGTCTAGGTAGACCTGCTTATTTCTGGTGACATATTACTGTCTAGGTAGACCTGCTTATTTCTGGTGACATATGACTGTCTAGGTAGACCTGCTTATTTCTGGTGACATGGAGTCCTGTCTTTATATGGTAACATGTCATGCTTTATTTGCTGCTCATGCTGGTAATTAAGATCTGCAAATAGACTGAAACCAAAATAGTTGATAATAGTATTGAAATTAACCCCCCAGATAACTCATAGTCCTTCAAATCATGTACAGTCAATTTCATGTTTAAGTGGTCTTTAATCCAAATCTTTTTTTGGCTGACAATTTTTCTTAAAACAATCCTTCCCATGTTAGAAACATTGACAATTTTCTCTTCAAGACACTTCATACATTATGACATTAAGTTGTTCCAGTTTTATTTTATTAAATATCTTCATAATACTGCTATTAGATTAGTATGAGATCATTATATAATAATATATAGACACACTTTAACAAAAATTGGCAATTACATGCAGGGTAAAAGTGAGTCCTTGTACAAGCTTATTTTCAAGTACCTGAGACATACAATTTTAAATCTCGAGACCCTTTATCAGAATATTATAGCTTACGGGGACTTGCACACTGGCTTTATGAAAGTTATCAATCACTGTATATGATGGACAAATACGAAGCAGATCCATTAGCAGTTTTGTAATATTAGGCAGGATATCACATAATACAATCAGCAAAAATTTGTACACATGATATTTGTATTTTGGTGTAACAAAAACCCTTGTTTGCATGACTGGAAGAATTGGCCAGCTGATTTGCATTACACACAAACAGTATTTGAACCTGATTTCATATGAGTGTAAATGGTAAGAAATTTTATTTGTACATATTTCTTCTTCAATGAACTGACAGTGTTTGATGGCAAACTGTTCTTGCACTGAACACAATTTGCTGTGAATATTGCAGTGAATGAATGGCATTTATTTATTGAGTGATGTTGGAAGAGACTGCTTGATGCAATTTTGATAGCAGTCATGAAATGGTAATATTGTTTATACATTATTTATGAATGTCAGACATAATCCCCTTCGGACAAAATCCCCTTCACCTACCGGACAAAACCCCCTTCATGGGTGGACAATAATCCCCCCTTTCATTTTTGCAAGGCTGGACAAAATCCCTTCACTACCCGGTTACAAAATCCCCCTTGGTTTCATAGGTTTTAATGTATTATTTGCTCCATAAAAAATGTGATGAATATGTATTTATTATACTCCCTTAAAAATTGGTGAACTAATGAATTTTGTTATTTTTTACTTTATGATTAATGTTCAATAAGTTACCTGTTATTTAGTTTAGAAAGTTTTCAATTAAGATTTGGTAAATTAACAACTGCATAACACATAATTTCTTTTAATATTTTAATTGAATTAGTATGAAAACAATTTTTATTAGCGCAATAATTGTTTTTCATGATTATAAGTTGAATAATTCTTTATTATTGAATAAGATACAATCCAGTGTTACAATTTCTATTGTGAAAAGAGTGATAAATTTAAAATCAAAACAGATCACTGCAGCTATCTTGATTGTTATTGTTAATGATGTCAATTAATAAAGCAATTTTAATGTGATTTAAATGTGCTTAATTGACATGTGCTCATTCTGCTGAAAATTTTCTACTTTTTTTTTATACTAATTAACATATTACACAACAGTAATGCAGTATGGTCGCATCATACCCACTTTCAAACCGATAAAATTCCTCATGACGGCGGGATTTTGTCCTAGGTAGCAATTTATGAAGGGGATTTTGTTGTTCCCACTTCAAAAATTTTCACACATGTTAAGTGGGATTTATGGTTTTCCACCCATGAAGCGGATTATGTCCGGTTATACAAAAATACATGAAGGGGATTTTGTCCGAAGGGGATTATGTCCGTACACCATTATTTATATATACACCAAGATAAATGGAAAGCAACATTCAACATACATATATTTAACTTGTATATTTTCAGATGTACAAGTTTCAAAGACATCGCAGACCACCGAGTATGAAACCCACTTACAGATTGTACTGGGTACGGTGTTTGGTGTGTTTGGATTCCTGGGGTTGTTAATTATAGGGACTCTGATTTACAGATTCTGTAAGAACAGAAATAGGAGTAATAGATCAGGTAAAGTTGTAACCTTTGTGTGAATTTCCAGTGAAAATACAGTATCTGCTGAAGTAACTACATGTACTACAATAATGAAAGGAATATGAGCCTTTCATTTGTAATGCAAGGATTTATTCTTGTATTTGAATTAATAACTGGAAGCATTAATTCCATTTATAATGAGGATTAAAAACATAAAGTAGTGAATTGTAAGGACAAGTGTTGCAGTGAGTTACTGTGACTTCTGGATATCTTCTTGTAGGGATGATTTCTATTAAATCATTGAGCATTGTTGGTCATTTAGAAAAATGAATGTTAAATCTAAGGTCATTTTATATTTTCAATTTAAGGTCAGTTTGAACTTCATTCTCAGTTAACAGTTTAGAAAATTGTACAAGTTTATGTAGCTCAAACTTGAGACCTACAAATGATATTTGCACAGCCATACTGTCTGAGATACCTGGCCACCAACATCTCTTAAGTTAAAGATGTAGTATTTATTCTAGTTTGATTGTGGAGGAAGCTATTAGCTGATTCTTGAATCAGTTCCTGGGCCCAACCAGTACAAAGAAATGTTAAGTTCTTGCTTTTGGAAACAGTGTCTTACCCCTGGCAGGGTATGAACCCAATGTGGATTACTTTCATTCTTTGACATATTTTGCGGTTGAATTGAAATTAGTCATGAAAATCTTCAAAAACCGATTGACATGAGAGAGAGTTGCTGTGTAAAATTCTCTCTGAAAGTCCAATGTTGCCAAATGTCTGATGGTGAGAAAGAAGTGCGACATTATTGTGTCATTTATCAACCTCACTTCAGTTTTTAATGTTACACACAGTTTTGAAAGTTGATACATACATTGTATATTATTCACCGTAAGTGAGACCTAGTTGACTATATTGATGGTCTGATATATTTTAAGCAAATCTACATCAACAAAAACTTGTCAGAAAATTAACAAAATTAAAATTGATATTACGGGAAAGTTTGCAAAAACCCAAGTTACACAATCTGTTTCAATGGAAAAGTTTAGGGTATTTAGCTAAAACCCTCAGGCTTAAATTTTTCAATTTTTAAACATTTTTTTCCAAATTAATTGAGCACTGTCAAGGGATGTATAGAAGTTTGGGAGCTTTTTAAATGAAATTTTTCCCAGTGTTCCATAATTTCTTTTTTGAAAGATGTTTGGGTTTCTACTCAGGTGCCTTTTACTGCCTAAAATATTGTTTTAAAGGGTTTCCATTTGAGATCTTCCTTCAAACAGTAAAAACGGGAAAGATAAAACCCATAAGACAAAAAAGTATTAAAATTCCTGATCCCAGCTGTTTAAACAAAATTTGGGTTAAAAATTTTAAAATTTGAAAATTCCAACACCCATGTATAAAGAAAAAAAATTTTGGTATCCCAAATGAGCGACTCCCACTCCCCAACAAAATCATCACACATTTATTAATATTTCTACATGAAATGCATGCAGCAAAATAATTTGTTCTGGAACATTTTTCTCTGTTTGTAAATATTTCATTTATGTCAAATGATAGAAATATAATAAGTAACAATCCCTTTCAATAAATTACCATGAGGTTATTGAAACAACATAATTTTACCATTTTGTGTAAAAAAACTAATTATACCCCCTTATGAAGAGAAGGGGGTTTATTGTTTTGCAAATGTCAATTGGTCTGTTGGATATTGATTGGTCAGTTGATAGACAAGTTTGATTCTGCTCAATAACTAGAGAAATATTTGACCATCAGACTTCACACTTTATAGGATGATCAGTCTTATTGAGTAGATGACCCCTATTGTTTTTGGGCACCCAAGTATACAAGGTCAAGGCCATGCATGAAGGTCATGGTCACAGTGCCTTGAATATGAAAACTGTTTCCACTCAATAGAGATTCATTTGACCCGCAGCCTTCATAATTCATAATAATGATTACCCTTGAGTAGAAGACCTATTATGTTTTTGTTTGCCAATGCATGGAGGTCAAGGTCACAGTAACCTGTGAAAACTGTTTTCGCTTATGATAACAAGAGGAATCATAACTATGTCATGATCATTATTTGTATTTGTGTGAATGTAATCTCCTCTTTGCTAATTCTAACATTATCTAGGCTTATCTTACTATCAGGCATTGAGAATAGTCGAGCAGGCTATCATATCAACTGCTGTTGTTTATAACAGGGTTGGTGCTACTAATAATCCAATGAAACTACAATCCTGTTTATCAATAGTTCACAATTTATTATGCTTTAAATGTTTTGTATTTTTTTATTGTATAGATTTGGAGCAGAAGCAGGTACCAACAGTATTATTACTCTACTCCTATGATTGTAGTGCTCATGAGAAAGTTGTTGAGGCCTTGTCAGGCTTTCTTATCGAGACATGCAACTGTAATGTTCATCTTGACATGTTTGAGGAGCAACTGATCATGGAGCGTGGCTTAGATGAGTGGCTGGTGGATAATCTACAGGAAGCGGAGTTTATTATTGTTCTAAGTTCCATTGGTGCAAGATTAAGGTGTAGTAAAAAGAAAGTTAGATTCAAAGTTGAAGATGGTAAAATATTGCCTGATTATTTTGCAGTGGCTGTTGATTATGTTGCTGAAAAGATGAGAGTAGAAAGGTCAAAGGGTATGCCTTTGACTACATTTTGTGTTGCTTATATGGATTATTCTACAGAGAGTGATATTCCTCCCCAACTAGAAATGGCATTTAAATTTTGTCTTATGAAGGATATAACTGCACTGTTCTGTCATTTACATGGAATTCATGGTGAACCAACGAAAGACGGTGCTCCTATTGTTGGTTTAACACCAGACACTTTTGATACAACAGAAATGGGGCTTGAATTAAAAGTTGCTTTAGAATCAGCCAAAGGAGGAATTTTCAAAATCAAATCCCAGATTTTGGGTTGAAGGATAAATAGAACCTGTGCAAACCATGGTGCCCGCCCACAAAAAAAAATTCCCGAGCCTTCTGTACAATTCGTTTTTTTTTTTGTTATTTTTTTTTTGTTTTTTTTTTTTTTGGTTTTTTGTTTTTTAATTTTTTCTTTTTTTTTTGTTGCTTAGTGTCTGATTCGGGGGCGGAGAGCGGCCGCGCCCCACGACTTTTGCCTTCAGGCACGACCCCTCCTAAATTCCACCTTTAAAAGCCACATTATATCTAAATGAGATTACAGGTGAGCCCTTCGCCAAAAAGATACAACAAAAATTCGTAACAAATGTCCCTCATTTTCCCCTAAAAACCCGACGAATTCCCCTTTCCTTCTTCATTAAGTCAGCCAGACAACTTTGTCTAACACCAAACCTATAAACAAAAGCTCTAAAAGTTGTGAATAATTTCAGACAAGAAATGGACAAACAGATGCGACCTCTGTGGGCTTCCAAAGGGTCACAGTATTTGGAATTCTTGACTTAATATAAAACAGTTTCATAAACCACCTCAGGAATCTATTAATTGATAATGGTGGAAGTTAAAATCAAAATCCAATGCCTTTGCTGTGAAATAGAAAACAGTGTCTATTTAGTTCCACAGACGATATTTTTCCCAAAAAGCCCAGAATTTCACAAAAGAATGGGACGCTCAATGATGGCGTCTCTCAACGGGGGAACTCTCATAAACAAATTCAAAATTCACGAATACAATTGTTGATGATTAGAAAGAATTCTTGAACTTCTATTTGAACCCTAATCCAATCTCAGAAGTCTTTAACCTCCAGAATTTCTTAGAAAAACTTCGGTGCATATTCAAAATATATAACTTTACAACTACAATGGAAAATATATCAGAAATAACCAACAAAAAACAGCTATTTTCTGATATCAAAGCATGTGCTGATCCAGCTTTTGGCGCAGGTGATGCAGTTGCTTTGAATGTTATGTCACATGACCCAAAGTGCAATGATGTTCTCCAGATTCAGTTAGAAGATATTAAATTATGAATATATTATATTTTATAATATAAGTGATAGGATCAGTTTTCTAATCAATATGTTTCTAATGGAATTTATTTTATAGCCTTTGAAAGGTTTGCAGACTTAATATCATTTGTTTTTGTTTGATTTTTTTAAATTTGACAATTTTGTTTGCTTATTGTTTTTCCATTTTTTTTAATTTGCGAACAAAAATCTTTTTTTAGAAATGATACAAGAATTATTTATATATTTATAGATATATTATAAAAGTCTTATATTTTTTGAATTTGTATGTTAACTGTATAACACCATCCAGTTGAATCTTGACAAGAACTTTCAATTATTTTAAGCTACCTTTCAGAAGGTTGGTGGTTCTACCCGGATGCCCATTTGTGTCTGAAATGTTGCACACAAAGCAGTAAAAAACAGCCTCCACCAGTAAAGCTGGCAAGTCGTCATTCACAGTGTTGGTGTGACTTAAAATCCAACATAATAGATAAACAAAATACACATTCAAATCATTGCTAATTCCCAATTACAATAGCAATAGAATTCATGTTATTTTGTTAAGGATTGTTTCACTATGCTTAATTCAAAAATATTCCTATGAATTAAATGATAGAGACACTCCTTGTTTATCCATTTTAGAAACAACTATAGGAATATGGAAACAACCTGATTGTTTCATATATTTGACCTGTTATAGTTTTATACCCTATATTCTTGCATAGCAGACTGGCGTTTCCGTGAGTTTTACCCATGCCGGAAATTTCATCTGGCATGGGGGGTGCCAGATGAGTCGCATGCCAAACAACAACGTCATTTTAGCGCACTTTATGAATGAACCACATTAAAAGGACATCATTTTAGAAGGGAAATATGTTCTTAGGATGACGTCATTTTGCCGTTGTTATTTAAGTTGTAAGTTTCATACGCTATTGTAAAGAAAATAGTTTATGGTGAAATGACTTTTAATTTCCATGAAACATAATATCATATTTTAGGTTTAAACCATTTTAAATATGAAATAATATGGCAGTATATGCAAGAAAAAATATCTGACATATGTTTGCGGTTCAGATCGGAATATCCGTCCCTCGGGAATCCGCCCATGGGCGGGTCCCCTCGGGACGGATATTCGGGTCCGAACCGCAACATATGACAGATATTATTAATCAAAATGTTCCATACTTACAGTTCTAATATCCCCCTGACAAACAATTCTCCTTAACAGTCTTACACTGCGCAATGTTATATTGTGAGTGTGCTATTTTTCTTGTCTTGTCCATGATATGCTTATTTATTTATTTGATTTTTACACTGTAGATAGTTAGCCATTTGTCCGGTTTTTATAACTTGCATTGCCAGGGCTTTGATAATAATGAAAATTCGAGTGTTGGTATAGTGGTTGAGGGATCATGGGTTTGAGCCCTACTTGGGTCATGGTCATGTTTTTTTATATGACACCAGTACTGGAAGTCCAGGAAGTGGACTTGAAAGTGATTAATATAAGTTGCAAGAATTTGTTTCGCAATCAAGGTAAAATAAATGTTTGATTTAAACTAATGAAATTGTCAGCTTAACATGATTCCTTACCCCACCCACCAGTATCTGGGGAGAATAAGGAAATTTTAACGCATTGAGAAATCTAGAAAGATTTTGCTTGAGATCTATAGTTTGATATGATCTTGGATTATATAAATAGATGGTTAACTTTGATCTGACTATTATTGAAGCCCTGGTGTATTATAAAGTTACTGTGATGTACTGTACAATGACATTGTGTAGTTTGTAAGAACATTGCATAATTATGGTAACATTATATCCTGTCATAGTTATATTGTTGCATTTATATAGAAAAGTGTAGAAAACATTATTTATTTCTATAAACATGTATAATTATCTAAAAATGAATATGATATTCATTATATAAAATCTATTGTTTTATCTACGTTTTGGTCTTATTTTATACTTAATGTGATTATCACGATTATATCTCAGTAGGAAACTAGTCTATGTAAGTCTATAGATGTAAGTATATATAGGAATAGGTTGTTCAACTATGCTCAAGCCTCTATATGTGAACTACTGGTCTGAATTACAGATGTTTGTAGTGTTTACAGTATTTTGTTGTCATGTGGTGAAATTTCAATTTTTAGAAAAAATTGGTTGATGATGTTTTATGCCATATTTTTATATAATTATAGAACCGTGGATTTTTTTAAAGCACATTACTTACCTTTGTACTTATAACAAAAAGACTTCTGTTAAACATGTAAGATAAAAACGCAGACAGTTCTGAAGTGAACCTAGGAATGTAAATGCAGTTACAGTGAAACTCTGTTACAGTGAACACACCAGGACCATGATTTTTTTTTTTTTGTTAGATATATCTGATGGTTTCTTATAACCAGTATAAGGAAAGGGCATTTTCTAAGTTAACTAGATACAAGGAGCAACTGACATGTATGACAAGTGGATATATAAAAGTTATTTTTATAACAATTTCATTATCAAATCTTAAATTAATAGTAACAAATTCAGAAAGAGAAATAAATCTGTATACTTTAACAATTTATTAATCATATTTTATTTCTTATACCCTTTATCATAAATGCCATGTATGTTTTGAAGCTGTAAGTTTATTCTTTAAAAGTCTGCATTAAGATTATATTTATGTGCACAAGTTACTTAGCCAGTGTTTCTTGTATCTGAAAGTGTTATAACCAGTTATTGCACTAAGGTGATGATGAGTTCTCTGTTCACAGAAATACTGCAGTTTATGTTTTTCATCAGAATTGATGTAACCAACAATGATCTCATTATATAAATGAAATAACTGTTCATTATCTTGTGAGCAATTATACAATTTAATGTGTACCCTGTCTTGCCATTACAAGCCCATGTTACTTCAAATCCCTGTATCCTTCATAGGAAATAGGACTCTTTTTATATTTCAGCTTGAACATTTCTTGCGATAACAGGAAATTGGTGTGTTTATATATACAATAATCAAATATCTTAGTTTAAGATAATTTATATGGTAAATGCTAGCAGGACAATACCTCAGTATAAAGCCAGACTGCCCATATGTGCATGCATTCTGATCAGAGACCTTACCTTCCTACAAATTTTAATATCTTTATCTTGGCATCCCAGATAATCAACAATAGACATTTTTAGCTCGACTTTTCTATGAAAAGGGGAGCTATCCTACTCGCCCCGGCGTCGGCGTTGGCGTCACACCTTGGTTAAGTTTTTCGTACCACCCCACTTTATTTCAGAAGTATTACAAGTATGGCTTTGAAACTTACCATACTTGTTCACCATCATAACCTCCATCTACAGACAAGAGTACATAACTCTGTCAAGGTTTTTGACAGAATTATGGCCCTTTTTTGACTTAGAAAGTGTATTGAGCTTGGTTAAGTTTTTTGTACCACCTCACTTTATTTCAAAACCATTGGAGGTATTGCTTTGAAACTGACCATACTTGTTTACCATCACGACCTTCATCAACAGACAAGAGGACATAACTCTGTCAAGGTTTTTTTGACAGAATTATGCCCCTTTTTGACTTAGAAAATACATTGAATATGGGTAAAATCCACTTATTGCCTTAACCCTTTGAGATATTGCTTTGAAACTTTTAATGCTATTTCACATCATTACCCCCATCTGTACGCAAGAGAAGGTAACTCTGTCAAGGATTTGTTTTAAAAATTAAGGCCTTTTATCGACTTAGAATCTTGGTTAAGTTTTTAGTACCAGTCCACTTTTTGACTGAACTGTTTGAGATATTAATTTGAAAGTTGGAATACTTGTTTACAATCATGATTCCCAAACATGTCCAGGAGAAGGTAATTCTGTCAAAGATTTTATTTGAATTATGGCCCTTAACTGTCAATGTTTTGTATTATAGGCAAGCACTAAAAAACTTAAAAAATCTAAAAAAATTCATTCCTATCCACTTGTTCACTTTACCATAAATTATGTCATAATAAAA